GGGGGGGTGGGGTGGGGATGACACACTTTTTTACCTAAGGATTCGTTTTTCTGATATAAAAAAAACCGGCTCTAAACTGAATTTAACTTTTTCCTAAAGGTAAGCTCTTTTTCAATTTGTCGTAAAAATAACGTAACGTAAAAATTTTCGACCAAAATTCCTAAAATTGCTAAATGTTAATCTAGTGTTTTCGCTTGAAATACTACAAATATTACTAAAAACTTGATTAAGATACTGGCTGTTATGTATTTCTTGATGTTTGGAAAAAATGCAAAAAACCTATACTGTCTTTTTCTCCCTCTTGTCACTGCCACTCTCTTGTCACTCCCAAAAAGACCACAGGCAAGTCCCAAAAAAGCCATCGTCGTGCCTCGCCAATCCCTTTAAAAGCGTTTTCTATGTCTTTATAGCACTCCATTTATTCAATTCACACACATACACAAACGCAATTCAAGACACCAAAAAAGGCCCGAAAATTCTAGAAAGCCCAAGAGGGGAAATACACCGAAAAGCGGGGGAATACGAAACGATTACGATAGGAAATACTGGGGAAAGAATGGTGAGGACTCGGGGCATCGAATTCGTCAATTTTCGTTAATCCGTTGTGGGGGTCGTTGTGGCGTTGGTCGGGGAGCAGGAGGCGGCGGCTAATTCTCAGACTTCTCGGGAGCTGCAGCAGCTGGCGGGGCGGCACCATCGGGGGCGGGCTGCGTCTGGAAAAAAATATATAAACAGGGAATAAAATAAATTATGGATAAAATTACGTGTGAGTTAATGAACATTAAACGGTATTTGCTTAGCAATTAAAGCCGGAAGAACAGAAACAGAAGCAAAAAAACTGGTTCCGTACCTCCGGGCTCTTGGCTCCATCGGTTTCCGGGGCTTTGTCTTGCGGGTTGAGCGTGCCGGGCGACGGGTCCGGCTGATCCCAGTCAACATCCTGAAATCAGAAATATTTGTAGGCGCATTTTAAAGCGATAAAATGCAGCCCCAAAATCGACTCCCGTAGTTTACCAAGTGTTGACAAATACGCGGCGCTCCAAACGACGCGTACGACACTGTAGGAGAGTCGTGAAGCAAAATTTTAACTCCTTTCAATTGCGTATTTTGGATTTATGTTAATGTAGCTATCGAGACCCAGTTCCGGGAGGGGGTCGATTTTGGCGTTTCTCAATGATGAATGAGTGTAATGAGTCGGAGTGATTCGTAGTCCGATTCGGTGGCCCCAGAGGAGAAGCCATTCTCTATCGGATTATTGGGTTCGATTGAGTCCCGCCAGGACCAAAAAAGCGCCACCCTGTTTTTTTATTGAATAATGGCTATTCACATTAACATTTCCAATTTTTAAAGGCTATTTTAAAGACGCTAATTTAATATTTTTCCTTTGGCCCAACTATTTATAGCCATTTTTCTTATCCTTGCCCTCGAAACTAATAAGATTTCTGGCATTCAGCCTAAGCCCCCTTTTCAGGTCATTTATCGCATCACACGCACTTTTTCCCGTGTAATAAGCAAAAATAACCCTCAAAATTTTCTCATTTTAGCCCGCTCCAGCAGAATTGCGACTTCTAATGTTTCTAATCTCTTGGTTAAACCCCTTTTAAATCCTCATTACCGCTAATTTGCCGGCGGCCGGCTTCTTCTTGAAGACGCCGACGAGCTTCTGCATGATGGACTTCTTGGGTTGTCGCTCCGTTTTCACCGACTCGTCCGACCGGTCGGACTTCGGGTCCGACTTGGACTTGCTTGTATCCTAGACGAGATTTTGATGAGTCTGATGATGAGTCCGATACCTTTTCATCGTCCGTTTTCGGCTTCTCCTCCTTCGGTTTGTCGTCGGCTTTTGGCTCATCGTTTCCGGGCGATTTCTTCTCGACTTCAACTAAAAAGAAACGTAATTTGGGCTTTATCACATATTTTAAGGTAACTTTTTCCACTCAACTACCCATTACTACACATTTTTTCGCCATTTCTAGCTGACCTACTCCCTTTAAAAGTAGTTTTCTCGAAAAAAAATTGTATTTTAGGCCCGGGAAATTCCTATTTAGAATTTGTAGCGTGTACAGCAACGCTTAGTACAGCTTCTGAATCCGCTAATTACGCGTAGAAACCCCAAAAAACTGAGGTTGAGAAACAAGAGGAGGGATATCTCCAATTTTTTCAAAAATACCTTTGTGCTTGCCCTCCTTGGACGCCTTCCTCTCCTTCGACGCGCCGCCGCCCGCCTTCTTCTCTTTTGAGCCGCCCGCTTTCTTCTCCTTCGATCCGGCCGTCTTCTTCGTGTCCTTGCCCGACTTCTTGTTCTTCTCCTTCGATTGCATCGGGCCTGGAAAATAGATTTATAGAGGGTTCCAGGACATCTCTCTCTCTCTCTCTTTCGCTCTCTCTCTCTCTTTCTCTCTCTCGCTCTCGCTCTCACTCTCTCGCCTCACTTTTAGTTTTCTTCGCCTTGATCTTTGATTTCTTCTCTTTCGTTTTCGTCTCCTTCGACTTCTTCACCTTCGCTGGTTTCTAAATTTGAAAATGAAGTCAAGCCTGCAAAGCCAAGCCTATTCTAAGCCAGGACCAAGCCTAAGCCTAGGCCTGAGCCCAAACCTAACCTAAACCTAAGTCTTATCCGAAGCCCAAGTCTAAGCGAAGCCTTAGCTAAGCCTTAACTAAGCCTAAGCTAAGCCTAAGCTAAGCCTAAGCTAGGCCTAAGCTAAGCCTAAGCTAAGCCTAAGCCCGAAGCCAAGCCAAGTACAGTAAGCTACCGTTGGCTTCGACTTGGTCTTCGTCTTCGATTTGCCCTTGCCGCCGGCTTCCACTCGGCAGTCTTCCGAGGAGCTCTAAAAATAAGTTCAAAAATTTGGGCCAAAGTACCGTTTCGCTTTCATCCCTAGTCTTCTGCTCGCTGTCCTCCGAGTTGTCGTCATCATCACACATGGGCGCCGCCTAGAAAATTTGAATATTTGAGCTAATTTGAATATTAGCGTACCTGCATAAATAACAGCGCCAAGAAGGGGGCCCAGCCGATTTTCATCTGGCGGGGTGGGGAATGATTTCTCGTTTTTCTGGATTAGCAACCGGACGAGAAATGCTAATTTTTGCGCCGATAATTTATGCAAATTAGTTCCCCGGTCCAGGACACAAAATTTAACCGTTTTTTTGCTCTGGCTCTACTGGCTCTACATTTACTTTTTGTTATAAATTCTATTTGTGCTGTGTTCCGTACAAAATTCCCCAAAATTCCTTGCTGTTTGCTTGCTGCTTTGGTTTAGATCCTTTGAAATCGATTTTTATGGTAGAGGTTGCTTAACGGGGGGGATTAGCGGAGATGAAACCAAATTTTTGTATTTCTAAAAGTTATCCCGATATTTTAGAAACGCCATCGGATAGAGCGTTAAAAATAATTATTCCAGGGCATTCAGCTATTTTCAGTTAGAAAAAGGTGATTTACAACGATTTTTAATTAACAAAGCTTTTCCCGATAATAAAGTATCATACTAATTTTTAAATTAAGTTATTTGGATAAAATTAAAGGTCTTACTAGTTTGATTTTCTATTCTCTATGTATACACCCCTGTGAAGCAACCTTTACCTGTTTTTTCATCGTCCTCAGGTCTTGCCTCTTGTGAAAGCTGCAAACTACAAATTGCTGTACAATTGTCATGTGTTCCATTTCCGTTAGTTTCCAGTTGTGCTCCAAAGCCATTTAATGGATTTTGTATTATTACAAAATCCAATTTTCCCCTTATCCCCAATCCCCAAAAACAGCTCCCCAGACTTTTTCAGCCTATTTTACGAAATTAAGCCGGATGTGAGCGCGGTACCCCGGTGCTGGAGATGAGGATTTGCGGGCGAGCGGTGGATGGAGTCGAGGATTTACCGGCCCTTCACCTCCAAAACAAACCAGTTTTTGCTATCGAAATCTTGTTTGGAGCTATGTATCGCCAGATGCTTCAAGAGCTCCGCGAAGCCAAGCTATTGGCTTCGGAAACCGAGCCCAAGCCAGTCGGAGCCACTTTTATTGCAAAGAAGCCGGCTTCTGCTTCGAAAGCGCCAGAAAACGACATTGGTTCTGATGACGAGGAGCCGAAAGTGAAGCCGTTGAAGCCGTTGCTGCGCATTGATTCTAGGTATGAAAAAAAAAAAAAAAAAAAAAAAAAAAAAGGAGGGGGAGGGGAAAAAAAATCTTAAGGAAGCTTACTTACCAATTTAGTGACCTTTCGATTATCCTATCGGTTTTATTTTATAAGGTTTTTAGGCGTTAAGAGGCCTTCTTCACTTATTTCTATTTTTCAGATCCGAGCTCAAGCTCCTTCGCTCGAATTCCATCAAATCCGAGCAAGATCTAAAATTGGCGAGGTCCGATTCGAAAGCGTCACGCTCCGAAAATCCGAGTCTAAAACCTATCCTAAAGTCCGACTCGACCTCGAGCATCAAGCAAAAACCGAAGCACATGGACTCGAAGCCGCTTTTACGTATCGATTCCAAGCCCGAAACGATCGTTCCGAGGTTGCCAATAAGTGAGGAAGACTCGGTGGAGTTTCTTTCTGGGAGTAGTGAAGATAAAACGAAAGCGTTGTGGAGGAATCAGAAGCGCCGTCAGAGTAAACATAGCGTTACGCTACCGACGAATATTGAGATGCAGGTAGGAGCTTCGTTTCTAAAGGTATCATATCGCAAATTACAGTAAAGTTCATAAAATAAAGCCATATATTTTCTCGTCGATTTGATTTTGCAAAAATAAAGATTTTCCTTAGAAATAAATAATAGCTTGTAGTTTCTAAAATACTTGGCAAGCCTTAAAGGGATGCCGACGGCATAGCCAATCGGTTACGCGCTGGAAAGAAAATGTCTCTGCGCCTCTCCCCGGGTCGCGCTCTCTGCCCTGTTGGCTACTTGCCAATTTGTTGATGAGGGGGGATCGACACATGCCGTCGGCAGCCCTTTAAACAAAAGGCTTAGAAAATTACTCCGGCTTTTAGACAAACGACGACATCACAAGACAACAGGCCAAGGAAACGGTACAGGAATTCCTCAACCACATGGCCAATAAAGATGAGCTACCGAATGTTTGTAAGTTTTACCTTGTATTTTAGTTGTAAAGTGTTAATTATATCCTAGTTTTGACAGTGTATGTTTTATACTATATTTATAACGTTTTAGCCGAGAAAACACTCGCGCAGATGCGGCGGCTAAGCGCGAAGCAACGACAACTCCTGAAGACGTCGTTTGCCGACCTGGAGGGTGATAGCGTTAAATATGCTTTGAGGATCTTTGTTTTGTAAGTTGGCGCTTTAAAAAATTGTATGCTAATCACGGTTCTAGGCTGTTCTCTGAACACCCAAGCTACAAGAGAATCTGGCCCCAGTTCCGGCAGATTCCCGATTCGTCGTTGATGAACGCCATCGAGTTGCGGAGGCATGCATCGGTGAGAGATGGAGTTAGGGGGGAAGAGAGGGGAGAGAGAGAAGAGAGAGAGAGAGAGAGAGAGGAGAGAGAGCGAGAGATAGAGGGCCAGTGGGAGAGAGGGAGATAGACAGTGAGAGCGAGAGCGAGAGAGAAATAGAGAGAGAGAAAGAGAGAGAGACAGGGAAAGAGATCACAAGAGCGAGAGAGACAGCCAAAGAGAGCGAGCAAGAGGATGCGAGCTAGAACACGACAAAAACATCCAAAAAACCCCTTAAAGGTACACTAACGTCTCGTTGGTTTGGTTACCGGCCGGTAACCGTCCGCGGGATAGGAAACAGGGTTACGGTAGGGGCTCGCCGCGGAGCAAAACCGAACCCGGGCCACTCGCCTGGGGCAAGCGCTTTCGACCACTAGGCCATGGGACAGACGGGAGGGGGGAGAGGGGAGGGGGATAAGAAGGGTCGGGGCTTGCTGCGGCCAAAAGCCCGAATTCCCGACCACGAACCTAATTTTTGCACGAGATTTTAGTGTACCTTTAAAAATCGTCGTCAGGTGTACATCAACGGTCTGAAGGAGATCATCCACGCGATGGACGATGAAGATGAGCTGAGTTTGCATCTAAACCGGATCGCTCGTGCGCATATCAAGTGGAGCGTTCAACGATATCACGTCGCGGTAAGGAATTCTCCTAAATTTATCATTTTTTCGGTATGACGGTGGAACGAAAGTCTGTCGCGAGAAGGAAGGCTGGCAAATTCGTAGACGCTCCATTCTGACATGCAATATCACGGTGTCTTAGAGGCGCACGGGGGTGGGGACGGGCATGGCCTAATGGTCTAAGGCGGCGGTCGGGTGACAGGCGCGGGGTCCTGGTTCGATTCCTCCCCGCATAAAGACGCGACACCGTTTGTTTTTGCACAAGTTTCTGAAAGGCACCGACAACAAATCTTTAGCGAATTCCAGATAGAAAATAAACAGAGGGGCGGCCCGGAGGCCGAATCAGAAAATCATCTTGGTTGCTTCAAAACGTTCAAGTCCTATTTTTCCCGGCGATCGCCAAAATTCTTGACTAAAATGTTCCCTAGAGTCTTCTCTATCGATCGCCAGGCGGAACATTCTAATTGTTTTCGAAAAAAAGTTATAGCCTCTAGAAAGCTTTCCCAACATTTTGGGGACCAAAAGGGGCGTGGCCTAGCCCAGTCCCTCCCGATCCCCGCGCGCCCAAGTAAGGCCAAGACGCCGTGATATGTCATTTGTAGCCTCGGCCTGAACGTCGGGAGGAAGGTCTGGGCCCTCAAAATCAGGAGGGCGAGATACAGGCCAAGAAGATCAAAAATTACGAGAAAGGTTTGCAAGTTATTTGCATGGATATGCATAGATACCTTAACGCCAATCAAAGCTCGAGGAGTAGATATCGATAGATTTGAAATCACAAAATTGACATTGGATGGCCGAGATATGGCCTGAAGTTTAGCCCATTCTTAGAACTTTCCCGATTTCCATACATTCCAAACATGACGGACAGGTGCTGAAAATTGCCGATTTATTTTTGGACCGCGGAGTGGATTTGACAAAATGTATGGGATATCGGGAAAAGTTCTAAGAAATGGGCAAATCAAGGGCCCAATCGGCGATCAGTGTCAAATTGCTGATTCAACACTCTCGATATCTACCCAAGAGACGATTGGCGTTAAAGGTATCGCATGCAAAGTATTTATGCAGAGATAATGCAAGCTCTCGTGATTTTGAAAGGTCTTCTTGGGCCGTATCTCGTGTTCTTGATTTGAGGGCCCAGGACCCCCGGACCAGGCAAAGCTAAATGCTATCGATGTGCGAATGAAGTATCACGAATTTAGCAGCTTCCAATCTCGGCGACAGATTGTTCAACCTGATACTTTGTACCTCTTCGTAGTTTATGTTCGGG